CAGAGACAGACTGGACACCTTTGCTCAGTTCCTTCCCCTTGTGCTTTATGCCCTTGGTAAGGCTCAGGAATGGGCAGAGAGAACTGTCGTGGCTCATGCTGGGGAGAGAGAACTACCAAAGAGAAAGGGACTGAACAGAAGGAAGAGAGGCTGCTGGCCGAACGAGCTTTCAGAGCCTGGCTGGGAAGGTGAGCTGCACCTCACAGGACGTCCGTGTAAGCTAAGCCTCCACACCACCTGGGATGGCTCTGTCTATCCTCTCACCACGCTGACTCTCGTACCCACCCCTTCCTTCCCATTTCCACTGGCAGATCCTGTTTCTCTCATTCAACAAGTATATGCAGTGAGAGTCTGCTCTGTGCCACACACCGGAAATACAGAGGTGATGAGACACTGTGTCCTCTCTCTAAAGAAGCGAGAGTTTACAACCTAGGAAGGAAGACTGATCCCAAGGATAGGCGATCACAACGCATTTCATAAAGGCAAGAGGCCACCATCTTCTCTTACACAAGCTGAGGCGTTAGCCTCCCAACAGGTTTCCCTGCTCCATAGCTTCCCTTCCGAGATTCACTGCCACCAAAGAACTGCTTGCATCATACCGTTCTCCCCCTGAAGAGCTTCCTACGCCTCTCCATTGTCTACTGACTGCATGCTTTCCTCCAGAGCCTGACACCCCAGTTTCCCCGTGCTCTGCTGCCAACGTGCCTCTCTGGCCTCATCTCCCACTCCCCTCCGAGAGGACCCATGTGCTCCAGCACCACGCTTCCCTCGATGGTCATCCCAGCCACCGGTGTGCCAGCTTTTGGAATGCCTTCCTCCCGTCCCCAGTCTCTACCTATCAAGGGACTGATCTCCAGCTACCCTCCAGGATTCAAATACCACCTCCTTCTCTTCTGCTCAGCCTGCCTGGAAGTAACTTCTGCCTCTTCTGAGCTTCCGCAGCTCCTTGTTTATGGAAGTATATGGCACTATTGTGGCATCAGAGTGATTTGTGTGCAAATCTTATCTACGCTACTAGACTTTGAATTTCATTCACCACAGTATCCCCAGTACCTAGCACAAGACTGATATTTATTGAATGAAGGACAAGTAAAGATAGAAGGGCATTATGGACTTGGGCTGAATCATAGGAAGCCACATGAAGTTATTGGTGAAGAAAGGGTAATCCAGCATTTCCTCAAGAATGCTTATTAGGTTGGTCAGGTTTCTGGCATGAGAGGGTAAAGAGGGTCAGTTTCCTTTAAAAAAAAAAATAAGTAATGAATTTTTCTTCTATAATCTTCAATATCTTCTTAAGAGCAAAGATGGAAGAGCTACTAGTTTTTACCCTGCCTGGTTTAGCTCTGGCTTAAATTGTCCTCAAGGGAAAGGGCAGGCTATCCCTTACGAGAAAATATCAGACCAAATATATTTTGAATAATGTGTAAATATCATCCCCCCTAATATAAACTATATGTTCCTCAAGGACAAGAATGAATTCTGAATTTCCTTTACAGATGTTTCCTTTGATCCACGGGGACATGTGTGTGCGCACGCACACAGTGGAACTCTGTAAAATCGGGGAGGGGAAGGGACAAGGTGATGGCAAATCTCCTCTTACCAAGCTCACTCCTGATGACCATGAAGGCAACAGTCAATGCCTGATCACAGAATTCACCAACCAGAATTTGCAGCCCAGGGTAGGGAGGGGGAGTGGGGGCAGGGGGGTGGAAGTTACAACCCTGTTATGGCTTGAAGGGATCAGCTGCAGCATATTGGCCTGTGTTCTCTGCACCAAAGGATGCAGGCACCAGAGGGAAACCCACAGAACAGCATAAGAGATTTTGATTAAACTTGTTTCTTTGACATTCAGTCTGGAAACATGCAGTCCCCTGTGATGGAGGGGAAACAACAACAACAACAAAAAGCCTCAAGCAAGCCATAAGAAATCGAAGGCTTCCTTTATTTCTTATCCAGTTTGGAGCAATCTTTCCAAAGTTGTGGGATCTGCTCTTCCTTTGAACATGACCCCACAGAAGAGTCTTGGGCCTGTAGGTTTTGACTGAGCCCAGGAGAGGCACCACACTGCCGACACCACCAAATGCCATTGCTTTGGCTGTGACTAGCAGAATTGGGGTGGGTGAGTGTACTGGGGGGTAGGGTGCTTTGTTTTTTTTGGGTTTTTTTCCCTTCAGTTTTACTGAGCTATAATTGACATACAGCACTATATAAGTTTAAGGCATGCAGCATAATGACTTGATTTATATATATTGCAAAATGATGATGACAGTAAGTTTAGTGAATGTCCGTCATCTCATATAGATACCAAAAAGAAAGAAGAAAAATATGTTTTTCCTTCTGATGAGAACTTTTAGGATTTACTTTCTTAGGAATTTTCATACATACCACACAGCAGTTAACTATTGTCGTGGTGTACGTTGCATCCCCAGTACTTATGTAACTTATGACTGGAAGTTTCGACCTTCTGACCACCTCTGTCCCGTTCCTCCACCCACCCCCCGCCTCTGGTAACCACAAATCTGATCTCTCTTTCTATGAGTTTTTTGTGTTCGGGTTTTTGGTTTTGTTTTTTTTTCAGATTCCACATATAAGTGAGATCATACAGTATTTGTCTTACTCTGTCCAATTTATTTCACTTAGCATAACGCCCTCAAGGTAGGTAAAGTGCTTTGTTTATGATAAAGTCAAATGTACACTTTCAAATAAGGAGGCTTATCCAGCCACAGAAAGGAAATCAGACAATACAACTTTCTAGCTCTCTAGCGCCTGGGCAGGACTGTGGGAAATTCTATCTTATCCCCACCGCGTTGCCTCTCTCAGCAGACAAGGAGCCAGGCAGCAGCCTCCCAGCTACACCTATCCAGGGAATTACACCACAGGCCACTGCTGAGGTTCATTCAGATTTTTGACCTCTGCTCATGGATGGCTCAGTTAGCATCTGATCTTGTCATCTTGCCCTGAGAAGTGGGCACGACCACTGCCGTCACCTTTCAATGAAATCTTGCTTTAAAACGAGGGGCTATGTGACTGGGAAAGAAAGAAACTGCCCTGAGCTGGAGAGCCCGTTGGAAACCTGCATGCGTAGCATCTTAGGTCAGATCTTCCGGAGGAATAATGAAGAGTGACCTTGCCAAGTGCTGAGGAAACCCTTTAGAAATCAGGAAGGGGAAACCAATGAGGCAGAGTTGCTGGTGATGGATGTGAAACAGAGAGGAACTGCCCGAGTAGTCCAGGCTGTGGGACCACAGCCTCCATAGTGAGCGGGGCCTGCAGCAGCTTCCTTCTGTCTGCTGCCTGGAAACTCCTCCCTACAGGGAAAAGCAGGTTGGTACCTTGCAAGAATCAAAACTGGATATCGTTTTCCCCTCCTGGAAGGAAGACCAGGCAGACAAAGTCGGAGCTGTGTTAGGTGTTCAGGCCCTTCCATGCCCCTTTCTCATCAGGGGTCTTCTTCTTGCAGCCACAGGGCCCCGAGCAGGCCATGGGCAAACGGGCTGAGCAGGGGGGGAGGATTTTGCCATTAACCCCAGGCGCAAACAGTGCCCTTCAGCCTTTCCTGGATAATGAGGCCTTAGCAGCATAGCTGCAACATGCCAATAACCGTTTTGACTGAAATCCATTTAAGCAAAGGGTGCATCCAATTAAACAACTAGGGCTTGCCATATCTGTGATGTCAAATGACCTATTTGATTATTTTTATTTGCATGCCTGACTCTTCTAACTGATAGCGTGTGTGCGCACGTGCACACACTCACGTACACACAGAACTGAACTTGAGATGGCGCTGTGTATAGCCTCAAGTTCAGTTTTGTCCTATAAAATAATGTCTAGCCCCTTTTCCCAAGCCTACCAAAGGCTGGTCTAAGTTTTAAAACTTCAGCAGCTATCCAGGCTGAGTTCTTTAAAGTGTAGTGGATTAACACTGAATCACTAGGCCATTTTGCATAATTTTGGAGGGAGAAGGCAGTAGAGCCAGACTCCACCACTGTGTCCAGGCTGTATCCTGCTCACTTTGGGTAAAAAGAATATCATTGTTTAACATTTTAAAAGCAAAAAAAGTACTTAGCTATTTTGTAATTTGCAACTTGAAAACAGTAATGGGTTTCCAAGTGCATGTCCTTACTTTTAATGGAGTGTTTATTTTTCATGGTTCTATTGGCAATAAAAGAACAGCTCCACATCGAAAGCCTTCAGGGAAGCAGTTTCCATTTGGAGGACGGTGAGATTGCCGATAATTCTGATTTTTTTTTTTAAAGTCAACTCACAAGACTATATTTCTAGATATAGGTTATTGCCTATTATCCCAGGTAATTATTTTTTTTAGTCTCTTACTCATACAGGCAAATTACAACACATTATGTGCTATATTATAAAAAGATTAAAAAATTAAGTGACACTGAGATCAGGGGGCTCCAGAATGTTTTAATGAACATGTTTCCATTGTCTTCTGTGCTTGGTCATTTTGTTGGAAGAATGATTCATTCATTTCAAATTTGGCAACTTAAAAAGCAGCAAACATAATTTTCCTATCACAGTGCAAAATCAGTTTATTAGCCTTCTCAGGCTGGTGGGGGCGGGGCGGGGCGGGGCGGCGGACAGTCATGCCTCCTTTTTCCTTGTCAACAGCACCCTCTGCTGGTCCTTGTGACCCATCACATCTGACGGGATCGACCCAAATTGCAAACGGAGGGCTCCCTGCAACATTGCACACAGCAGGACATGATTCATAAATCAGTTTTCCACCCTAGTGATTCATTACCAGATATATTTTTTCTGTAAAACAGCACAGCTCAAGGAAGTCATCAAGAATTCAGAAGCAGCAAAAAGTACCTTCGTTTGATTAATCATCTCTCTGACCTTTTTCTTCTTATTGAACAAGGTTAATAATACTTGTTATCACTCAAAGTTAAACTGTATTAGCTGCCAAGTGATTTTTATTTTGCAAAAGCCTGTTATCACTGCCAAGAGACTTCAACATTGGGATTGGTTACACTCCTCAGGTATGACCCCGAGGGGCATCTGACCAATGCAACGTTTCCCACTGGAGAGGTCAGCAGCTTCCACAGTGACCTGGAGAAGCTGACAAAAGTGGAGCTAGATACTTCCAACCGCGAAAACGTCCTCATGTCAACCAATTTGACAGCAACTAGTACCATATATATTTTAAAACAAGGTAAGAATATTTCCAACTTCGCCAGACTCTAACAGCATCTCTCTTACTTCTACCATCAAACCTCTGCACACCATCAATGACTAGAATTCACTTTTGGCTGAGAAGATGACTTCTCCCGATATTCCAGCTATGGAGGCTGAAGCCCAGACACTGTCACACCTTTCACAAAGTTCCTATAGCAACATTGGGCCACATCCCTGTGGGAGTTATGAGGTTAAATCCCTGCCAAATCTACTCTTCCATCAAGTCATTTCCCAACACGCAGCTGTTTGTAAAGCTCTTTAAGCTCTGATTGGGTTATATTAAAGAAATGAAGTCTGTGTCCCATCTGCGATTAGCATTCTAGAGCAATGATGACATGGGTGAATAAAAAGGATGAATGAGGATACACACCAAGCAGGAATATAAGGGAAATGAGAGAATTAAAAGCTCATTCTGTTCAAAGAGAGGAAAGTAAAGGAACGGAAGGAAAAGGAAGGAAGGGAGAGAGGGAAGGAAGAAAGGAGGGAAGTGAGGAGAGAGAGGGGGCAGAAATAGAGGAGTAAACAGGAAGGAAGGGAGGAAGGGAGGGAGGGAGGTGGATCTGGAAAGAATATCTTGGAAGCCGAGGGAAGTGGACACAGAGAAATTGTTTTCTCTCTGCCCAGTCATTAAGGACTCTTTCTGTTGTTAGGCTGAGCCACTCTAAAAGGATCGGTGGCGACCTTTGTCAGCGTATCATTTTGTGGAGTCCGGCAACTGTGCTGGTGTCCCCCGGCAGTGACGATACTGAGTTAAACTTCATACTCTGCCCATTCTAGCTCCCAGCATATCAAATGGAGGAGGCCAATCCACCAAGTCAGAAAGGGAGTTTGTGAGGGAATTCTTTAAAAGTGAGAAAGTTTTTCAGAACAAAAAACAGCCTGCAGTATTACACAGGAGTCTTTTATCCAAGAAACAAGACAGCCCAGCTGTGAAAATAACGAGACCCAAATGGACAGAGAGTGTGTTGGCCTGTCAGAGTGGTTGTCTAGCCCAGAGGGCAGTTAGGTCCACGGCACCCCACCTGCTCATCCTTTCCCAGCCTTACCTCCTAAAGCTAAACTTGTCTCTCCTCTGCTTCTGCGCTTCCCTTTCTTCCCCCTCTTCTTCCTTTGCTCCTCTGTCCACAGAAAATACCCAGAGTACCTATCGGGTGAGTCCAGACGGCTCCCTACGTGTCACTTTTGCCAGCGGGATGGAGATCAGCCTCAGCTCAGAGCCCCACATCCTGTCCGGGGCGGTCAACCCCACCCTGGGCAAATGCAACATCTCACTGCCCGGAGAGCACAACGCCAACCTCATCGAGTGGCGGCAGCGGAAGGAGCAGAACAAAGGCAACATTTCCGCTTTTGAAAGAAGGCTGAGGGTAAGGCTCGACCTGATAGAAGCTATAGAATTGGTGTTTTAGTTTTGAAAACGGCAGAGCCTCCCTCACTGGAAGTCCCATTTCTCCAAAGCTTTTCTAGCTGACTGACTCGCTTATATGATATACTAATACAAGAGAGGGTGCTAAAGGCTGATAATGGTTCAGTACCCTGAAATGAACATTCTAATAGGAGCTTTCTTTTTATTTATTTATTTATTTTTTAAACATCTTTATTGGAGTATAATTGCTTTACCATGGTGTGTTAGTTTCTGCTTTATAACAAAGTGAATCAGTCATACATACACATATGTCCCCATATCTCTTCCCTCTTGTGTCTCCCTCCCTCCCACCCTCCCTATCCCACCCCTCTAGGTGGTCACAAAGCACCGAGCCGATCTCCCTGTGCTAATGCGGCTGCTTCCCACTAGCTAGCTATTTTACGTTTGGTAGCGTATATATGTCCATGCCACTCTCTAGCTTTGGCACAGCTTACCCTTCCCCCTCCTAATAGGCGCTTTCTTTGTCATTAGCCAGCTGAAGTGCCCTGACAGTAGCAATTTCAGGCCCCAAGAACATCTGGATCGAGAAATGTGTTTAGTCGGGAGGCCCTCCAGAATCCCTCACAAGGCCTGCAGATGGTCAGCAGGTCCACTGAGCTGTCCCAGGCCCCTGCTTTGGGGTAGTTGGTACTTCATTTGGAAAGGCCAGGCAGGCACACACAGAAGGATGTGAGACATCAGGCAACATCTGGACAAAAGCAAGATAAAGGGCGAAAACAGTGAATGATATCACTGTCGTGAATATACATATTAAGGGCCAAAGGGGTCAAGGACTAGTACTCACATTGGGCTAATGGTGCTCAGAGACAGCTGCCCGGGGGAAATGAAAGATTTGGGGGTTTTCAAGTTCTTACCAAGCACTGTTCACCACAGTTAACCAGGGATCTCTCAAACAAAATTGCCTTTCTGCAGCACACGAAGCCTACAGACACCACAGCGCTCTGTCTACCTGTCCCTTCTTGAACATGAACCAATGTTAGGATGACGTGACCAACTTTCCAAGTATAGTAACATTCAATATCAGCCCGAGAGCAACTGCCAGCCTGAGGGAGATCACTCACTATTGAGGCCTGCTTTGAGCACCTGTGTCATGCCTGGGATACCTGGAACACTTGCATTTTCTTCACTCACAGTAAAATTTCACTCACAGTAAAAATGTGGTAACCTCTGGGCTGTGGCAGTGCAACGCCAAACAACCACCCAATTCCAGTGACAAGCCGTCAAGTCAGTCCCATGGCTTGATACGGACAAAATGATCTACACTAGCGCTCACTTTCCAGTCAGTTCTGTTGGTAACACAAAGACACAGACTTCCATGCTTGGTTTTTGTGACAGCTGCTAAGGTTGTCTACATGCACAAGTCAATTTGTATGTTTTGATTCCACTGGCCAGAATATTTACTAGGTATGCCACTGAATTGGGAGGTGAAACCAGTCCAAATAGTCAAACCTGTCTGTGTGAGAGCAGTGAGGGTTTCTATCAGAGTTCTTCTAGAAATGAGATCTCCTGGGTAGAACCCTCGATGGGGAAGTCTTACAACTGGCTTAAGGAACGCCTTTATTTTCTTCACCTGTGAAATGAAATGTCATACTAGAGAAAAGTCAGAATTATCTACATATGGCTCACCAACCTCATGGACTCACCCCAGAGCAATTATATCAAATAAATGGTCTCTTAGTGCCTCCCCAGCTTATAGTCTGAATAAAACATTATGAATCATATCATACACTATGTGACTTTGGGATTTTGTATTCTTTAGGAGAACTCATCCTATACTATGTGACTTTAGTATTTTCCACTTTCTACGATCACCCACCCTGTTTTCTCCCTTCCATATGCACGGATAATGGAGAGAGACTGTAAATTGTAATTTGCACCTCATATCCCAAATTGTTCTTAATACTGAGAAGCTAATGGTCATAAAACATACGGGGGCTCTTTCGTGTTGAGTAGAGTGAAGTGTTATTTAGTTAGTACCATTGACAATTGACCCGTTTCCCATCCCGTGGTAGAGTTGAGCAGATTTGTGGAACGGCTTATAAGGGCAACAAATTCAGGGCCCTCTCCTCTATGACTTCTAGGGTTCTTCCTGAGGTCCTGGAACTGAAGAATGGCTAGGTGGTGTTACTGTACATGTGCCTAGAAATCTAACAACAATAACAATTCTTTACATATGTTTAGTGCCTTACAATCAATAAAATGCTTTCATAGTCAGGGTTTTATTTGATCACCACAACCATCAATTTTTTAAATAAATTTATTTATTTATTTATTTATTTATATTTATTTTTGGCTGCATTGGGTCTCCGTTGCTGCGTGCAGGCTTCCTCTAGTTGCAGCAAGCGGGGGCTACTCTTCATTGCGGTGCGTGGGCTTCTCATTGCGGTGGCTTCTCTTGTTGCAGAGCATGAGCTTCAGTAGTTGTGGCACGCAGGCTCAGTAGTTGTGGCTCACGGGCTCTAGAGCACAGACTCAGTAGTTGTGGTGCACAGGCTTAGTTGCTCTGCGACATGTGGGATCTTCCCGGACCAGGGCTCGAACCCGTGTCCCCTGCCTTGGCAGGCAGATCCTTAACCACTGCGCCGCCAGGGAAGTCCAACAACCATCAATTATTGTTATTCCCAATTTACAGATAAGGAGACTAAGGCCCAGAGAGGTTAAGTGATTTGCCCAAAGTCAAACAGCTATTAAGGATCCGAGCCAGCACTAAAATGCAGGTCTTCGCCTAGT